ACCTTGTGAGTAGTTTCCTTTATGGAAGCCTTTTCTTCACTAGCTGGCTCTCTTACACACCCCGGAAGTGGTCCAACACTCAACCACTGATGGCACGCCTTTACTGGACCGTTTCTTACCTTTCTATGTCCTCATGCAAACTCCTCTGCTTATCTGGTTTGCCTTCTCGTGATTGTGACCATGTCGTTCAGAAATTGACGATATTTACAACAGCAGAACCATACGCTCATCCGCACTTGATCCTCGTAATTGGACAACCCAGCAATCGGAAATGAATTCTCCTCATCAAAACTAACCGCGCAGGTTACCACTCACATTTCCTAGTTTCCAGTTACTATTTTTCGAATTAGATGCATCGAAATCTCGTCATCTCAGAGAACTACCTACGCGACAGTATCTTGCACCTAAGCAATACACGTGATTTGTGCGCTTGCCCGGTGCTCCAGCAAGCAACCGACAGTGTCGCGCTGACCGGCTTTCCGACCCACGTTTCAAAGGTCGAAAAGAAACCGCTCCACCGCCAAACTCTTATTCAAGTGATTCCGGGCAGCCGCAAAGATCGATAGTCTCGAGTGAATTTAAACACCACTCTGTTGGTGACAGCTTGCGGAACGTGTGACTCACAATTCATGTAAGCAAGGCACATTTGAACAAAATTTTGGAAACAAAGACATAACAGGTTGAAATAAATGTTATGAATCGGAAATCTGATCAGTATACACAGATAAGTTCGTGTTCTAGACCTGCCCAACCGACATACCGCACAGCAGTCTTATTGATTTTTGTCAGCTGACCTTATTCACTCTCGTTCAGCCAATCGGTGACCGATTTGTGATGGCCCCTTTGCTACGGACCAATCATGTCTTGCCCGTTTTCCCTTCTAGACGAACAAAGCTGCGTGTCCACAAATTTCCGTGTTCGGAATAACCAACAACCATGTATTGGGGAATAGGTTCAAGACTGATGGGACCGATTGCTGGTTACATGACATGTGTGCTCAGTAAATTTGCGTCACCTTTCTTGCCTCTGTCGCCAAGGCGGATATGCAGCTGGAGGGCTAATCGGTGAAATGTCACGTGGATCAAGACGAAAGGTGTTGTAAAATCACCGATTGATAGCGATCTCATTAACTCATCTCAGGGTCTACACGCTGCACACGAACTTTCAAACGACAAAGGAGAAACATCGGAAGGGTCAGGAACCAACTAGGTGAAAAATCTGTCACATATTCAGAGCCGGCCCGGAGTGAACCCAGGATATAGAACTCAAAATGCTGTCTGCTTGGTATGTGGTGCAATGGAAGTTAGACTTCCAAACGATGGTTTGTGCGTCAGGTTTCCATACCTCATCATTTCATTCCAGGACGAAAAGGAGGTTTGGAATTTTTTCGGTACCTGCCATGAACAGATTATGTTAGGCTTGGAGGGTGGACCAATGAACACGCTGCCTGAGTCACCCATCTGAGAAGCCGTCACTCGAGGAATCAATCCAATCAATTGATCACGTGATATGAGTTCCGTGAATGAAGAATGAGTGAAGCTAGTTCCTGTGATAGCTAATCACACTGCTGATTGGCTGATTGTGGCAGAACGGTCAAGTGTTCAGGCGAAAGGACGCTGGGAGCATGAAACCTCTCTAGATTCTCTTAAGTTGATGATCACCAAAAGGGTGAAGCAGTTGTGCTGGTCAGCTTTTCAGCAATGACTGACTTCAAATACAGGGAGAAATCCCTACTGGGAAGCCATTCTGTCTAAGTTCCATTTGGTCATTTTTCCACGATGGTCATGGCGGTCGGGGGTCAACTTCCATTGGATCTTTGTCACTGGGCGCATTCTGGTTGAGATGCTAACGGGTTACTAGTAAAAGTTTGCGCCAAATTAGGCGCGGGAAATGTTACTCCTGAACCCACCAGCCTGTGGAATTTCGAATCGACCTAAGCCACCACAGTCGGCCCCAAACCGCAAATAGATGGACGGATACCATAGAGCCTAGTTTTCGTTTCATCTTGGAACTTGAAATGAAAAATCGACTAGCATGGCTCTAGTCTGTGTGTGCTGTTTAGTTCCTACTCTCAGAGCCACTGCTGTTTTTGCCGACCAATCATTGGTTACACTCGGTTGTAGATTGAAGTGAAGAAGGAAAGAAACGAAAAAGACCGAAAGGACACGCAAGAAATTACCTATGGTCTCTCAAACTAGCCAAGAAAAGCGAACGAAGTTGACATTAATAACCCGACATTTATTCAACTTCTGTCTGTTTACTACTTATGAGTAGTTTCTGTATAAGTTAGGATAAGCGAAGTTGATCAACAGGAATGGTTATTCATGATATGCAGTTCATTCTAGGCTTAAGTATACCAGAATCATCGAGATTTACGTTGTTTGTACACTCTCAAATCTGTCATAAATATACAGATGTAACAATGTAAAATATTCTGCAATACAAATCAAATTCGACATCCCGGGTTGCAAGCATCGAGCTGGTCGACCTCGCACGAATAGGTTCAACAGCAGAAAAAGCTGACCTCATGAATGATTGGTCCATCATGCTGTGTATCTTGTCTCTGCTCATTCCGACTAACGCTGGATTATATTAGCGATGTAGATTCCACCGTCGCTTCTTCTGACGGGGCTTCCTGCATCTTAGGATGTTGGCCAGATAGCCAACCCATACAGATTTGGATCATGGTTTACAGGTCACCACGCCGAATCACAAGGTTGGTAAAAGGTCTCTAACAACTGAGGTGGCAGGTCGGTGAATTGGGGCACCTGTGATCCGGTTTAACTTATCGTTCGAAGTCGTCTTTGGCTCACTGCCAGTCCTGATGGTGAACACCGTGTTTCTCAGCAAAACACTACCCAGTGGAGCATTACTTAGTGGTTGTACGCCTCTTCTACAACGATCCAGGCCAATATCTCTTGAATGTCTCGGTGGCACCAACGCCCGACCTTTTTTGCAAAAGTCACAGATAAAATGGCACCGTCATTAAGTGGCTGGTAAGACAAATGACGAATCAAAGTACAGCCTGACCGCATCCACGCAACATGGCCCGGTGTCCGCAGTGACAGAGCCAGAAAACATTGGTTTGGAACTCAACCCTTGCCCTGTGTACTTTAATCCTTCCAAAAGCGAAAAAACTCTTTTCGACACTATTGAAGATCAATAGATATTGCTTCGTTAAGTGGCAAAAATACGCCCAGAACAGCGCTAAAATCAAATTCTTCGTGCTTGAATGATCTTCAAAAGCATGGATATCATTTGACTCGTCAGAAGCGCAGGAATGGAGGGGTTTTCATTCCCGTGTTCCTTAGCATTCAAAAATGTTTCAAAGTTCACTGTCGTTTTTTGGCACTGGGCATCCGGAACTTTTCCAGATAAGCCCCGCCACCAACGCAAAAAGTGCATGTGCGAAAAATCAAGCCCCGCCACCGTTTGCCAGCTTCAATTTAATGTACTCACACACCTTGACCTTATTTTTGAAGAAAACAATTTCTTATCCGCATCTTGGCTCATTTTGTGCAAAAAACCTCTCCGTTCGGACGTAACACCTTAAATGAGCTTTCTGACGCTTTCAACTCTCGTTCATGACAAATAGACGGCAATAGGTTTTTTGGCAAAGCCACAGAGTGACCCATCAACAAAGTTTATGCAACAACAGCCACCAAATGACACTTTCAACTTATCTGGCAGGTGGAGGTGTAATGCCCGACAGTGTCGGCAAGACATCGGCTTCGAAAGGGAACTTGGCTGGAGTGGTCTAGGATGGAGTTTAGGACAGTACTTCTGCTCATTTATTGCTGGTCCATATATTTGGCAAAAAACAAATTCTACTCAGAGGAATTATCTATTAGCCACACGACCGCTGTTGACTGGAAGAACTTTCTTCGCGAAGTTTGCCCCTGGCGGCTTTTGCAGAATCCAACAGTTATCGGCGGCCCAGGTCTACACGTCGAGCTCGATGGAACGCTAACATCTCGCCGAAGAAACCACTCAGGGCGGGTCAATAAAAACTAAAAGTACAAATTTCATATCCTTTTTTTGATCGTTTGTGGATTCGTGAGGTTTGTCCGGAAAAGATCCGGGTATTTTTTTGTGTTGCTCATTTTCCAATAAATTTCACAATATATTACGCAGCATGAACGCTACTCTACAAACTCAGTCTCCGGAAGCTCTGATATCCAGAAAGAGAAACGTTCTATAAAAGGAAGTAATGTCGTCCTTAACCCAACGCCGCAGTTCCTCAACTCTGAAGATAGGTCAGAAATTAGGTAGTCACGTGCCAGCTCGGCCGAGACAGCAAGCACAGGACTGATTTCAAATCACCGGTCGATTTTTCTGTTCTCCACCATTCACACGAGTAGTCTCCAGATGATGAAGGGTTTCCTCTTTGATGTTTAACCGGGTTAACCAACTTAGCTTTGGTCACGCTCCGAAAAGTGCGACCAGTGTGCACTTTAATGACTCTGGGAAATGTGTGTCAAAAAAAGAACGAAACTAATGGACACGATGAACTGATGTAGCAGTATAGCTTTCTGTTTACCTCAGGCTAGGATATATCGTATGGGTTGTGGGTTGGGTGACCGGAAAGCAAAAAAGTTTTGTCCGGACCACATCTAATCCACATTAAACACAGCCTGTTTTATTGCATTTTGTTTCGAAAATTTACGTGTACCTCTCTGTGTCCATCAGTCGCGGTAACATTACATCAGTGGTCGGAGCCGAGAACCTCCAGGGTTACAGAACATCGCAACTACACACACACACACACACAAGCAAATTCACATAAAGGGATGGAGGAACGGGTACGGGAAACGTCGTAAACTGTAAAAAAATTGTTATATGTGGGCCTAATTAGTCGTGTCTGTGTGAAACGACGTTGGGAACCACAAAGAAACCTAAGAAAACGGTATTTTTCTGACCAACTGAGACTTTGTAGAGTATCGGCGAGAAAACGTATGATGTGATATTTTGTCGAATGGGGAAAACAACGGCTCACTTACCATCCTGTTGCCTCGAGCACCACGCTTTGTTGCTCAGGTAGTGTCCATATTCGGGCATGCAGGATCTTTGAACACGCTGACCACGAGAACTTGAGGCGGCGAACCGGGCAACGGTGGAATNGCCGAGCAGCTGTTTGCATGCTGTGTACGGAATAACCAAGATAAAAGTAATAAAAGGGTGTCCTGACAAGACCATAGTTCAGAGTTAGACCAGTCAAGAAGTAGGATCTTCTGTGGGTTGTCAAAAAGACCTACCGATGGTTTCCGATCGATTCGGCAATCACAGCAGAACGATTCATTCAAAACGACCTAGAATCTAACACAAGTCATCAGCGCGTGTTTCAGTTGAGATGGAAGAAAGATAAAAACATGTTGGTCCTTCAAAATATTCGACATGTTCGAGGGAGGCTAGGTCGCTGTGAAACTAGGATAAATCTGCGTCGCCAATCTGTTATATCTGACTGCTTTTCCCGCTCTAACGCCTATGACCAGAAAAAGGCTTTCCGATAGGAACACAACAGCTTTATTACGAAAAGAGAGTGCGAGAGCATGAGCGCGAAAATACAACGGCCTCAAGCTATTTTATTGGTGGGGCATTGTCTGACCTTGATCCAACGTGTCTGGTATTGATCCAAGGCTGTCACATGCTGCATATTGTGGGGGCGTTGTCTGACCTTGATCTAACGCTGACTCACACTGTCTGGCTTTCATACAAGGCTGTAACGTGCTGTATGTTGAGGGGGCGTCGTCTGCCCGGTCAGTGGAGTTAAGGAGCTCAATAGATTTCGGACATTCAGCGGTTATTTTCAGGAATCTGATGACCTTCCTGATATGTGTACACCCGACTATGCTTCTGCCCTGAAAGGAATATTTCTCGTCTAACTCTGTCACCGTGTCCTTCCTCGCCACGAGCCACTTTAAGATGATCTGATCTCAAAGAGTTGAACGCATTCTGATGAACTCGTGTAGGCTGGATAAGAAATTTAGGGGTTAGAATTACAGCCTGGACGAAAGAAGTTTAAATTGTAAAAAAACCCCGCGTTTTCTGAAATTTCGCCGCTGGAGTGCTGCGTGTCAGGAACTTTTCGAATATCGATCTTATTTACTAAATACTTCCACTTATTCATAAATATGCAAGTTTGGCTAACAGCTCATTTTAATGAGCAAATCACCTTTGTGCACCTGAATTCTCCCGATTTGGAATGGTCATCGAAAAACTTTAGAGACTGACTAGTTTCTTGTGCAGAAAACTTAGGGGCTATGTTCATTCAGTTGGAAAAACACTTGAATACGATTGAGACAACCTTGTAAAACAGCCGGTAGAGTTAGTGCCTAGCAACGTTTCGATTTTTACACAAAAGTCTCGTCAGGCCCGATTACCGATTTGGTCGAGATTGGAGGTGGGATGAGAACCATTTAGTAAGTCGAGGTCAGTAAGTTTTGAGGTGTCGGCCAGTAGTATTTTGTTGGGGTGGATCAGCAAGTATTAAGGATTTTTGCAGCGAAAGATGGCTGAAAGTGATCAGTTGAGTATGAAGTTACCAATAGAATGTATTTGGTGAGTTTACAATGCTGCGATGTGCGGGTCAGACACGTGGCCAGTGCGTGCTGAGGACGTCAAAAGACTTTCAGTCTTTGATAATCGATATCTTCGGAGCATTGCCCGAATCCGGTGGGAACACCGGATAAGCAGTGCTGAACTACGTCGAATGGTATTTGGGAGAAACAACTCACCATCGACAGATGAACTGATCACACTGCACAGGTTGCACTGGCTTGGCCACGTGTTGCGTATGCCAGTCGACCGACTTCCTCGAAGGGCTCTTTTCGCCCAACCATGTGAAGGGTGGAAGAGAGCCAGAGGCGGTCAAACAATGACTTGGCA